GCCTGGTGCGTGATATAATGGTGCTGAGCGCTTCACTCGCTCTTCCTACACCAAATACACGACGTCGAACACGCTCATTGCTCACGCGGTGTTCCCACCAGACATGAGCTAAGTTGCGAAGGCAGCGATGATCGAATATGACGAGCCTCTTTATGTCTGTCGACCTGATGGGCCAAGTTTCACAGCCATGTAGGAGAGTTGAACGGACGGCTGCATTGTAAACTCTGTCCATCAGGACGAGAGTAATGTCGCTTCTGCGCCACAGGTGGCGGAGATTGGCAAAAGCACCTCGAGCTTTTGCTATACGGTTCGTAACCTCATCTTCAATCCCATGGGTGTTAATATAGCTGCCCAGGTACTTGAATTCCTGACCGACTTCTAGCAGATCACCACCACGCGTTAGCGCAGGGTTGGGTCCCTGCCAATCTTGGAGAAGTACTTTGTATTTCGGTGGAGCAAAGCATAGTCCAAAACGATTGACAGCCAGTGCTAATCGGTCCAGTGCTGTTTGGCATGTTTGGGAGCTGTCACAGATTAGGGCAATATCGTCCGCATACTCCAAGTCAAGAAGTCGCTCACCAGGAAGTAGCTCCACACTTTCTAGGTCGTGTCCAGCGAACGCTGTTTCCATGACTTCATCAATAGCGAAGTTGAAGAGGAAATGTGACAGCGGGCATCCTTGTCTCACACCGCTGGTGATACTGAAGGGTGGCGACAGTTTGCCATAAACCCCCACCCTGCCCGAACTATGCGCGTACAGCGCTTTGATAATGTTTACATATTTATCCGGCTAACCCTTCCTCAGCAGATAATCCCAAAGGGCACATCGATCGACTGAGTCGAAGGCACCTTTTATGTCAAGAAACACGGCGACCGTGGGTTGCCAGTAAACATGGCGGTGCTCCAACACTTGACGCAAGGTGAAGATGTGGTCGATGCAGCCCCGAAGTCGACGAAATCCGGCTTGCTCTTCACGAATCTGGCTTTCACGAGTACCAGTCAGTCTGTGAAGAATGACAGAGGCAAGCAATCTAGAGGCAATCGAAACCAGACTGATCCCTCTATGACTGCCGCATTCCGAACGGGAGCCTCACTTGAAAATTGGGACAATGATGGAGCGGTTCCAATCTGTCAGGACTGTCTCTTGCTCCCAAAGTTTTACTAGCAACTCTTGTAAATCATTTACTAGAGCAGGTCCCCCGAGTTTGAAGAGGGCTGTAGGAATTTTATCTGCCCCTGCGGCCATATGCGATTTCAACAGCCTGATCTCACGTTTGACCTCTGCGCGTGAAGGCTTATCCAAAGAGACGGCCCAGAGAAAAGGGCGCTCAATGCCCGTAGAAGAAAACGATAACTCAGGTTGGTTAAATTGCCTTGCAAAGTGTTCAGTCCAACGCTCCAAGCGTTTTAACAGGCTGTGGATCGGCTGCCCACTCTCGTCGCGTATGGTCTCGTTAACACCAGGTCTTCTGCTGCCTGTTTCCCGTATCAGACGGAATAACTTACGATGATTACCAACGGCAGCGGCTGTTTCCATCTCAGAGGCACGATGAGACCACCCGGTTTCGCAGTCCTTCTTCAGGCTAGCACGTAGTTTTGCCCTGAGATTTTTGCGAGCCTCATTGTATTCGCTTCCAGCCGGAATACGTCGGCGAGCATCCATAAGTTCCAGAGACTGTGTAGAGCTCCAATGTCCGGTTTGTCAATTTTCTTTGTCACATGAAGACATGCTTGCTAACAGCAACGCTTGACGAATATGCGGCCAGTGATCTTCAACGGTGTTTAGTGGGCGCTTACTCAGCTCAGATGTCAGCGCACTTTGGTGCACATTCAGAACATCTGGCTTCACCAGCTGGCTGATGTCAATCTGCTCACATCAACGTTGCGGACGTCCACCGAAACGCACCAGGTGGTCGGCACAGACAAGTGCGTGGTCAGAGTCCACGCTCGTGCTCCAAATCGAGCGACAGTTTTGGACACAGCCTCTCCAGCGGTAACTGATCGCGATATGATCGATTTGCGTCCATGACTGACCCGAGGCTGGTGGCCGCCAAGTCACGCTTCTGCGGGTGCTGTGTCGAAAGTTAGTGCTCGCGAGAAAGAGGCGAGCATATTCACACAGCTGTAGCAATCGCTCACCATTATCATTACGGGAGCCTACACCATGTTGGCCGCCCAGATGAAGCTCATCAGAGGACAATTTTCCGACTTGGGCGTTTAGATCGCCAGCCAACACCACAGTATCCGTACTTCTTCTGTAACGAATGAGCTCGTGAAGTTGCTGATAGAAATCATCTTTTACCGAATCAGTGCTACAGTTTGTAGGGGCGTAGGCCGCAATGACAAACAGGCACCGTTTGTCCCCGCGCGACTGCGTAGCACGGAACGAACCAGCTAATCTAACGGCGCACATCCTACTGTTTACTGGGATCCAATCAATCAGGGCAGCTTCAGCCCGGGGACTCAAGCCAATGCCGACACCAGCTTGACCGGCATTTGGAGCTGCATCATCGCCAGACTGGCGCACTGAGAACGTGCCGCCAGTGTCGCATGTGGGTGATCTCAGGGTAAGCGCGGAGCTTGAATCTTGCAGGCGGGTTTCTGATAAACAGCAACTATCGATCGATAGGGTCTCTAGTGTGCGGGCAAGTGCTGCCTGTTGGCCAATCTACAGCAAAGTGCGCAGGTTGGGGCATGTCACTCTTAGCGAGACTGGAGGACTCCAAAGGGAAACGGATGAACTGACGTTGTCCGCTTGGTTGAACATGGACTTGTCGACTGGATTGGAGCGACGCAGTGCGATTGTGTGTGATTTGAAATTAGAAGACAAGCGACTATTGAAGTAAGCTGGGGGAGGGCCTTGAATTGGGGGGTTGAAAATGGGGGGATATAAGTAAAGTTGGAGCGGGATGTTAAGGATGAAGAAGTACAAAACGTTGGATAAGAAGACGGGAAGGCCTGATCAGTAGTATCCATACCCCTATTCACCCTGCTCGATGCAGCAGATAGGGCGCCGTTTATTATCTGCGACGGCCAAAGCGCGGTCGACATTTGTCAACCTGCAACACTCGTGGCGTCATCAGGATATCTCCCTCTTGGTAAAGGGTCTTGTTTACAATGCCACCGTTCGTGCGATGTTGCTATATGGAAGCGTGTCGTGGCCAGTTCGTGTAGAGGACATTCGCCGGCTCTCGGACTTCGACAACGGTTACTTGAGGATGATTCCTCGTCTTTGGTGGAAACAACATATCTGCAACATTGAGGTCAGATGTCGTGCGTTAGGGAATATGAATATTCACTTCAACAAGCTAGTTTTGCTGCGGCATTTAGGATGGCTCGGTCACTTACTGCGTAAGTCAGCTGAGTGTTTACTCTATCGCGATCTGGTTGCTCGTACAGCACTTGACTAGAAGAGACCACGCGGTGGTCCACCATCCACCTGGCAACAGCACATGAAATGGTTGCCTTCACCTCTTGCCAACATTGGTTCCACACGTCTGCCTGGTTGGGGGTCAGAGGGCGGGGAGTGCCGATGGTTGGAAACAATCCAGGATATGGATCGTAATCAAAATCAGTGGCGGATCTGTGTACACAATTGTTTAGCTTTGAATTCCTAATGCTTAGCGATTGAAAACGACAAAATTTAAAAAAATATGTGCAACATAAAAGATTGCCCCGTTTTCCCTTTTATTACGGCACAATAGCTGAAGTGTGTTGCTCACCTTCAGTTAATATGCCATGGTGATACGTTGTTAAACCTCTTCTTTTAGTGATTTCCGTGGTTTTGTTTGGCTGTCTATTTAATTGACCGCTGCTTATACTACTCCTATTTCTACTACTACTATTGTCATTACTGCTACTGCTACTACTACAACTCGCGGGTGGTACTAAGAGGAGATAGAAGCAGAGGTGTGCAGTGAATTGCTGGGTGAATTTTGGATGTGATTTTTTTCAAATTACTTATAACCGTTTTATAAGTCGACTCATTTCCACTACAGAAATGGAAAATTGTCCAAAAATCATCTGCTTATATTCGGTAATATACGGTAATCGCTGCTACTACCCTTTTTGCATATTGTATTTGTGCTTCATCCCCGTTGGGTGGGCTAGCCCCTTCCTTCCATACCTTTCAAACAATTGAATCAATAGTTGGCAGAAGACTTCACCACCACCATCGTTAAACAGTGCGTATGATATAGAACCTGAAACGGCAGCGGGAAAGCGATTGGGGGCTGTGCTCGTTTGTCGAACCGGTGTCCGAAAGGACTAGACATATTGCCTTGTAACCCTTAATTCTCTTGTTCTGATATGTGTACCCGCAAACGACCTAACAGTGTCTCCATCCTACATGTGATTGGTGGTAGTCGCGTGGTAGAAAACTATCGATGCGGAGTGCTGGTGTACCGCGGATGCCATCTTATGCTATTCGAACCACAGACTCATCGGTCAGTAACTGCAAGGATTGCGCGCCTCCGTTGTAATCGTGAAGTCACGTGTTCGAATCCGCATAGGTGCGGCGCTCTTGCGCAACTGGTGGGAGTCGCGTGGAGGCTAAACTTCGGTACGGTGTGCTGACATACTCTCAATGCCTTCTTTTTCTGGAGACAGTTGGGGCCTCTAGATTGACTGACCATGATTCGATCTGCGCCGTCTGAACAATAGGAGGTCACAGAGCAGGAAGTCAATTGAACTACGGTCAAAATCGCCCAACCAAATGATCCAGACGACATTTCTTATTTGAAATTATGGTTCTGGACCTGCACTTGATTGTCTAGCTGGCGCTTATGCTCTTGGGGCATTTAGTGCGGATCAGCTGAAAGGCTGCAGTAATTGCCCGCTATTCCGATTCCCCCATTTCCTTAGTCCTTTTGGTTCACTAGACTCCATTGCTAATTCACATACTAGGTTGTAGCAGGACTTTTTCCTCTGAATGGCAACTGGTCTGCAAACACTCCTCATATCCGGTATCAGGTGCAATGACGGCTGGTATCTCCACAAACATTACTTACCACATCCTGCATGGTGGCAGAGATGGCGTTCTAATGAAGCCCATTATCGTTAGGGTAGTTAGATAAAAACCCTTCACGCAAGGCCTCCGGCAACTTTACTTGATCAAGGGCTCGTCCACCCACACGGCGCTCTCTGTCTGCCTGCAGTGTTGTACCTATCAGGTTCTAGACCATACTTTCCTCGCTTGGTGGTGTTTCAATGATGCTCCTCCAGCACCCTCCTTTATGGCTTTCTGTGACTATTTCCTTGCATTCCAATCTGTGTGCATTACATGTGAGGCATGCAAGTGAGCTCATTATTGCTATCTGTTTTTAGTGGTACTGCCGCTAACCTGCTTTGATCATCGTCTGTCTACTTGTGTGTATCTTATCTTTTTCGCTTTGTCGCCATCCGATTAGAATATGCAGGGTGTGGCGGCATCTGTAACTGACACGCTAGGTAACATAAAGTAAGTTCTGCTATCTAATTCCGTTCTCTTTTCTGGCCATGGTTACAAAAAGTAACAGCTCAATCTAAGCCTACCGATGCCAGGTATTTTACCACAACGAAAAAAGGTTCGTGGTTTGTTTTATTTATCTCACTTTTAGGGGAAATTTTTGAGTTGAAAGCTGAACTGAATAGTGAGAGAAGAGACAAAAAGAAAGAGGCTGTCAAAAAAGTTATCGCAAGCATGACTGTTGGTAAAGATGTCAGGTGCGTCCACACTCCTCATAATTGGACCACCTTCAGTGCACTTTTCCCCGATGTCATCAATTGCATGCAAACGGATAATCTGGAACTTAAGAAGCTCGTTTATCTTTACCTGATGAATTACGCTAAAACACAACCGGATATGGCTATCATGGCAGTCAACACGTTCGTTAAAGTGCGCGTACATATTTCTATTCCTATCTTCAGGACTGTGATGATCCTAATCCCCTGATCCGAGCACTTGCCGTGCGAACGATGGGCTGCATAAGAGTCGAAAAGATCACAGCCTACTTATGCGATCCTTTGAGAAAATGTCTTAAAGATGAAGACCCTTACGTAAGAAAAACCGCTGCAGTTTGCGTTGCCAAACTGCATGACATTGATTCTCAGTTGGTTGAGGACAGTGGATTCCTTGAGCTTCTACGTGACCTCCTCTGCGACAGTAATCCAATGGTTGTCGCCAACGCAGTCGCTTCAATATCTGAAATCTTGGAAACTACGGCGTCTGACGTCGCCAAGTCAGTGTTGGCTTTCGATGGCCCGGTCGTCAACAAGCTTCTGACGGCTCTGAACGAATGCACCGAGTGAGCTATGGTTGTGTTTTCCATGTCCGTTAGACTGTTCCCCTGATTAACTCGTTTTTTACTTATCGAATACTTTTTTATCAATGACCGTTAGCGAATTGTCTTTTGCGAACTCACTCAGACTTCACCGTTCATTTGAATGGTCACAGAATGAATCTGGGTACCAGTTATCGTTTAATTCTAGTTTTGGTTTGTTACATAGACATTCTTATTACGGTAGACCTTACGCTGTCTAGATAGCGAAATCTCGAAATGGATTCCAAAACGCTGCCAATGTGGATTTACGGCAGCCCCACAGTTTCCACTTCTGGTGAAGGCTGTAAAAGACAACCGGGCGTCCTTGTGTTGATGGTGTGTCCGAAGTTGACCGCTGTAGAAGCGAGAGCCGAAGTCATATGCTGCAACTCACCCGCGCTGTACGCAAATAACGCACAGTCGTCTGTAAACAGCAACATGCAGATGGATGTCTCGCCCCGAAACGACGGATATTCAGCAACCCACCATCAATACGGTGCTCCACACGTACGCCTTAGTACAAGCCGCGTCAAAAGCACCGGTCATCGTGGCATGAAGATAAATATTAAACAGGACAGGCACTAAGACAGCCTTGCTTCATACCAGAGACAACAGCAACGTCTTCTGAGGTTTATCCACTCACCTGCACCTTCGCCCGCATACCACTGTGTAGACATTCAACTGAACTTACAAATTTATTCGGACAATCAAACTTACCCAACACCAGCCACAATGCCTCGCGGTTCACCGTATCAAATGTCTTGGTGAAAACAGCAAAAAGCGAGTACAACGGCTGATGTCGTTCTCTGCACTTCTCCTGCAATTGACGTGCCGCAAACCATATATATGGTGTTGCGGCTCGAACGGAATCCACATTGCTCTTCATGTTCAGTCCAACGACCTAACTGACGAGGTGGTTGAGCAGGATTCAGGCGAGCATCTTTCCCATACAACTCAGCAAGTTGATGCCACGATAATTCGTGCAACATTGCTTGTTCACTTTGCGCTTGTACAGTGGTAACACTACGGCATCCTTCAGCTCGGCGGGCGCCCCCATTTTCATTCCACACACGCGAAACCAATTGGTGCAGTGCTGGGCAGTGAAAGCCGCAAGGAAGCTGTCTCGCCGATGCCGCCTTATCTTTGCACGATGGCCAGCTGTTTGTGACGGTATGTTGTCTACACAAGGTGTAGGCGCCTTGACCCTGAATGTTTGCTTAGGGCATTAGGCTTTTCAGGTAAGTCCCCCTTTCTCTCCCTCTTCTTATTCTTTATTTCACAGGTCCTCATGGTTGTATGGCAGCGAAGCATCAGTTCAAATGGCTGATGTACTGCTGTTGATGATGATGATGATGATGATGATGATGATGATGATGATGATGATGATGATGATGATGATGATGATGATGATGATGATGATGATGATGATGATGATGATGATGATGATGATGATGATGATGATGATGATGATGATGATGATGATGATGATGATGATGATGATGATGATGATGATGATGATGATGATGATGATGATGATGATGATGATGATGATGATGATGATGATGATGATGATGATGATGATGATGATGATGATGATGATGATGATGATGATGATGATGATGATGATGATGATGATGATGATGATGATGATGATGATGATGATGATGATGATGATGATGATGATGATGATGATGATGATGATGATGATGATGATGATGATGATGATGATGATGATGATGATGATGATGATGATGATGATGATGATGATGATGATGATGATGATGATGATGATGATGGTGATGGTGATGGTGATGGTGATGGTGATGGTGATGAGGATGAGGATGATGATGATGATGATGATGATTTGCCAACGCGGATCCGCCGTGCTTCAATACTTCCGTCGGAACCGGCACACTTGCCTTTCCGCAGCTGAGCAGATGCTGTCTGCGTCTCATCCAACGTCGGTTTGTTGACATACATATCTTCATCTCTTGCTGTTTCAGACCGTTAAGTGTAGGCCAATCAATCACTGAACGGTTGTTCAAGTGGCAATCGAAATGCTTTCGCCAAATCTGCACTATGTCTGCTGTCTGTATACAAGCAGTGCCTGAAATAAAATCGAGCATTGTCCTCAGCGGCTGCAACGTGGGTCCATACACCGCCTTCAAGGAGCCACATAATTCCTTATGTTGGCGGCATTCGACGTAGCGTTCCACCTACTTCACCTCCGTCCACCATGCATTTGTGGATGCGATGGAGCCCTCAAGTCAATCGCCGTCACAATTGGCGAAAATGACTTTCCTTCTCGCAGGCATCAGGGTCACCCACATGTGCAGTGTTGGTTACATCCTTCGCCGACACCAGGCGCCAATGGTCGGCCGGTGGCCGAGTGGTCTGCACGTTTGCTTTGCAACCATAAGGTCACCGGTTCCACTCCGCGTAGGGGTGGGCGTCCTCGCGGTATACTCAGCCCGCGCACGACTGGTGGTGGTCGCACGGCAGCGAAGCGCCGTTACGGCGTATAAGCTGACACCTTTCTATATATATATATATATATATATATATATATATATATATATACTCGGAAACTGAGTCTCTATCGGTCCTAAATTAATTTCGTGATATTGAGATCGCACTCTGATCTGTGGTGGATCGTAGTTGTGGGCGTACCCTGTACTGGAGACGAAAGGCCCAATACGCGCACGAGTGCTCCACCTTTAAAAAAATCCTCAGCAAATTTCTCTGCATCATTCATCCCTTGTAGACACCTCATACTACTCTGTGGGTCAAGATGATTCTTGTCTTGATTTTAACAATTTTCCGCAGTAGCCAGTCGGAGCATCAACGAACAACGCAATTCTCACTGACATTGTTTACCGTTTTTCCCATACATCACCACTCATTTTTATGCTGTTTAACCAAAGTTGCCTCTGATCTTTTCATCTACGGTAGCGGTCATACCAAATTAGCTAAATTATGATCCTGCTTCACGCAGCGCTTTCTAAGGTTTACACCATTTTACCTGGCTTGACAGACTAGGCATTCTTGTCATCTCATTTTATCTCGGTTGCTGTACGTTGTGCCCTCGAAGCACCCACACAAGGCATTAGCGTTCTGATGCATATTCCATTACCAGAGCCCAATTGCATGTGCTTTTCTAGTGGCATCGCTCTTTAATCCAGAGTATCTGGCACCTGGTGCATGTTTGGAAGGCCCCGCTTTGTGCACCTTGGCACCTGAAGGCGATTTCCATTTATCTGAGATGCCGTTTACGCCAGACGACAGTTAAGTCGCTCTGCTCAACTAAGTCTCATCTGTCTCAAGGTCTCCAACGCATACAATTGTTTGAATATAGTTGCGGTGGAACGTTACTTGAGTGGGGTGGCGCTACCATGAGGCTCGAAGATGAGTCACAGGCAGTGAAGATCGATTTGGTTTATCAGATCAACAAGTTGGTTGAAAACTTACGCGTTTTCAGACAAGTCTCGTGTATGACCGCCTATCGCTCACAGATAAGCCATTTGGTTCCTTTGTCCGATGTTGTTTGCCGTAAGCCTCTATGGAAATTCATTGATTTAGTAACAAGGAATGAAGTTTGTATTAATTAGATTGAATGCTGTTGCTTGATCTCGCACTCTAGGCTGGAATCAACGCAACTCTGGGCTTTCTTGTAGGCGCTGACTCCTAAGGAGCAGCAGTACTTTGTCATCGTTTCCTAGCCAAACTGTCTGTATACGGTCTTACGATGCCGAGTTATCTGCGTTGTGAAGCTGACTACGCCGCAATACAATGACGAAATTGCCTCGTCGGTAGCAATTATCTTCACGTGGTAACCATTTGTTTGTCGTCGTGTCCTGTTGATAAAGTGTACGGTCCTCTATCCCAGGTCCTTGTTTGGGACATTTGGTTTTGTCTATTTTTATTCTACTTCCTATTTCTCCTTCAAGGGGCGTGATAGCCGTGTGCCAACGCAAAGTATTCCTAGGCTGTTGCTTACGATTATCACACTATGGGTTTTTTATTAACTGCGAATGTCGTTCCCCACTGAAGATTGTATATCCATTTGGAGCATCTCTAGAGCCCGGGTCTGTTTCAATGCCCTTTCTCCTTAACTCCTACTTCTCCCACCTCGGTGTAGCACCTATCTTCTTGGTTGTTTCATCCGTGTTACAGTTTAGACGAGACTAATGAATCACATGCCGACTGATATTGCTTCTAATACACTATGCGACAGGCATTAGTGGCCACTTGTCCGTCTATTTGCAGGTGCCTAAACCGTGTATGAGTTATCAGTCTCTGTTTAATTCGCTTGAAGCATGACAGATGGTTCGATTGGTTAATCGGTTCCAGAGTCCTTGCGACAATCAGAGTTGGCTTCTCACTTGATTTGATGGGAACTAGGTAAATGGCCATTGCCAGTGAACTGCAGATCGTTGCTCTTAGGTATCATCAAATTCCGTTCCAATGCATCCGGCCATTAAGGCCATGTTTTGCCCATCTGCTCTTGGAGTCATCTGCTTGTGGGTTAAACGTAGCATTTCGAAGAACATTTTATCGTGTCCGATGTGTTGCCACCGCTTTTCTAGTCATTCGAACCACTTTGGGGTGTTGATATGTTACATCTATATTCAAAGCGAACCCACAAGTACTGACATTATTGGTGTTTCGATACAGCAGAGTCCTCTGTATTTTTAGACTTGTACCCCATTCGACATTATATGATGCGCTGGGAAGTTACCTTCAGATTGCTGTTTGTCAGCTATCGACAGCTAGACGGTACGTGAAAATCACCTCTAGGTTTATTTCAGGTTGTCTCCAAGCTTAATTGTCTGCTTAAAATAGGTTTATTTCGAAACATCGTGGATAATGGAATGATCATGGGTGACAGGCTGGACGCCTAATCGCAGCCAGTTCTCAACCTATCCAACTAGAACTTGAGAATCTGTCTGTCTGTGTCACTTTGTGTATGTCCAGGGCATCGCGCCACCGGTCTGACCACTTTTTAGAAACTCCACTTATCCAACTGCTGCTCACAAACTCCTGTGAATGAACCACTTATTTCTTTCTCCATTATTTAGGCTTTTGATTTGTCTTTTGTGTGCCCATTTTGGCGAGCACATTTTAACTGGCTGATGTTATCGAGAGCACATCCAAGCAACCAATTAGGTCACGCGGTTGCTGAGTTCTTTTCTTTAACCTGGGGCATTTCTACTTTTCTCATCCTCTTTCTCTTCAGATGGGGTCAGGTCTTCATTTTGGATGCCATCGCTGATTACACACCTGCGGATGATCGCGAAGCACAAAGTATTGTTGAACGTGTCATTCCGAGGCTTGCTCACGCGAACGCTGCCGTAGTTCTGTCCACAGTGAAGGTTATTATGAAGATGCTTGAGCTGATTGATCCGGATTCGGAAGCCGTCTCGGCAGTGACACGAAAGCTGGCGCCCCCTTTGGTAACCCTGTTGTCTGCCGAGCCAGAGATTCAATATGTCGCTCTTCGCAATATCAACTTAATTGTTCAAAAGCGGAAGGATATATTGAAGCAAGAAATGAAGGTAACTACCGCATCTGTTGGACAGGTCTCATGTGCCCTTCACTCCATTTGCTTCATGAACTGACGCACAATCTACCACTCACAGACCTATATTTGTTACCCACTGACATTTATTAGCATCCTGTCACCGCCACATCGCATATATTCCGTGGCTTGATAAGTTATTCTTACTAGTGATACTGATTGATTCGTTGTTCACCAATCCAGTTTCGCATGCTCGTCTTACAGAAGATTCATGTCACTTCAATTATGATCCCAACACTTGTGGAATGAAAAGGTTAGCAGTTAAAGTTAGTGGGGTGGCTGCGAATACCATTGCTTTCGCTCTCTCGAAAATTTTCTAATACTTGATGGGGGTAATCCCAAAGCGCCATCACGAAGTGACTGGACCTTACCGTGTTACGATGAATCACGTACCTAGGTCATCCATTGGGCTACGCCGAGTGACACCTGCTTGCTTTCAGTACGACACGTACCAAATCGGTCAACAGTTAAAGGCGCCTTCAAGTCTTTGGTCATCACTGTCTACGGATCATCCCTGCTGGTGTCGGTTGACAGAAGCGTGTCCGTAACGATGATTGGCGTAGGCGAGTGCTAAGCAATGATGCTCAAGCTAGTTACTTGGAACAGCGAATCGCAGTGAATAAGTTGCGTTGGCTTGGGCATGTACTACGTATGCCCGGTCACCGTTTACCGAGGAGGGCCTTGTCTTTTGTGCCCGCTGTGGGGTGGCACAAGGCTCAAAGTAGACAAAAGTTGACTTGGCAGCGAGAAACGAAGTCGCCGACGACCAAACTGCCTGTCTTGCCTTCCAGGCCGGAACCTACGTGACCCGCCTTGTGCTTGCCTTGAGACTCTACAGGACATGGCTCACAGTCGACACCAGTGGCGCGTCTGCTGCCTTATCCTTTTCGGATTGCCTGTTTAAGTGTGTTTGGTGCTGAGTTCACTGTGAAGTAAAGGCTGATTATGACGCGCGGCAGTGAAAGCCGCAAGGAAGCTGTCTCACAGACGTCGTCTTATCTTTGTATGATAGCCATCTGTTTGTAAAGGTAAGTTGTTGACAAGGTGTAGGTGCCTTGACCCTTATTGTTTGCTTAGGGCACTAAGGTTTTCCGGGAAGTCCCCCTTCTCTCCCTCCCACCATTCTTCGTTCGCTTGTCCTTATGGTTTTATGGCAGCGAAGCATCAGTTCAAATGACTGATGTACTGCTGTTGATGATGATGAAAGGCCATCCAAAGTCAGCCTCTGTGGTTTCCTCATCGGTTTTTTAAGAGGCCATTCTCCGATGCGTCACCATAGAAGTCAATAGTATACGGATTGTAAGGTCATCACGTTTGGGGTGTACCACAAAAGTCACACGTTGTTTCTGATGGTGGGCAAGCACCAACCTGTCTCAGTGGTTTGCTGTCACTCACCTTAAACTAGGCAGGTCCTGGTCAAAAATGTATGGATCCGCCATCTGTCACTTGCGGTTGGCGGTAGTTGCAGGTGCGTGATCTACTACGATCAAAAAACACCTGCGAGTCCTTAAATGCTGCATATGACGGACCTCATTTACACCGCAACGAGACTGTGCGATCTTTTACGGGCTACACTTGCTGTAGCCACCTTATAGATCTGACTATTGGATCAAAGACTCTGGCTAAAGCCCCTCGAGTGAGTTTCGATTTACCGCACTGCTATATGGATCAGAATGATGCATCAAAGGCTAGAGGTAGGGCGCTGTTATGTATCCACTCACAGCAGGATAACCAAGACAGATATTCCAGTCACGGTCCAATCACTTCTCGAATCAGATTACAAAGACTTTGGCAAACAATATGTATAGCCAAAGGTGGAGCCAAAACGTATAACTCATGAGAGAATTATCTAGCTGAAAGATCCTGGATTCCTGCAGCTTCTGTGTGTCTGAAAATACACTTGTTGGCTGCCCACTGGCGGACTGGTAAACTTCAGCGCTAAACGCTCTCATTGGCTAGGCAGTTAGCTTCAGGCTACATCGGGTCAAGCTCCGGGCTGTTAGTGGGAGGATCGGCTCCAAGCGCTGCTATGGGCGAGTTCTCTCAACAACTCCCCCGCGAAAATTGACGTGCGACTTCCTTCTAGGATCCAGCTGCATTCTGACCACGGACCTCCGTATCCGATCAATCCGTCGTCTTGGCTGCATGTTCATACCCTCTGTGGTCACTGGACAAGGCTTATTCGGTCCCTCATGAATTCCATGGTCTATGTCGAAATTGCCTAACCGAATATCCATGGGTTGCGATCGGTCACTTTTGCTTATCTAAATACTTGTTGGTAGCAGTTGGTTTGCGTGTCTATTCCAATTCATGGCGCCCACTCGAACCCTATAGAGTAGTTCTCCAGTTCTGCACCCGGTCGAACCCGTTGTCCATTGTGATCTTCCCGCGTGATGGTTTTTGAGTAAAACACTGTCTTCGGTGCAATAAACGTGCCTGCGTTCTGTCTCGCTGATTGTAACACTTTCTCGTTCGTGTATTACTCTCTTGCGGGCCGATACGCCCCAGAAGCAGTAATGAATTCAGTGTACGGAGTATTCCACTCATTAGCGCTTCTGCTGGTGACAGCTACTTTGATATTTGATGAGTTGGAGTTGATCTATACAGTGGCAGAAGAACATCCAATATATGTTGTGTCTTTCCCCTTCATTTTCAGTGGCATCCGTTTAAAAGTACTAAAAAAGGCTCTCCGTTTGCCCAATGTTTTAAAGATAGAATGGTGGCGGGCGTAGGTGTGTGATACCGTTGTGCCTACTGTATTCGGCAAACTGTGAAGAGGCGAATTGAAAGCCATTGTCGGTGAATAGGGTCTCCGTTATTCCTCTATTGAAAGTTGATTTCACACCTCACACTTCAGAAGTGATTCGACATGTGCTTTCCGTGTTGAAACTAAATATAGCTCCTGGACTCCCTGACCTTCCTCCATTGTTGCTGAAAGATAGTGACTGTTTCTTGACTTGACTTGCTCCTGAATCTAACGCGATTTGGAGCGCTGTGTCTTCAGACTGTTAACTGTCATGGCCATCTTTAAGAAGGGTTGGCGTACTTTATCCGAAAACCATCGAGTCATCAGCCTTGTTTCCGTTGCATCCAAATTCCTCACGGGTATCATTCTCCGATGACAGTATTTCCCGTGAGAACGGAATCACTGAAATCCAGTCCGGCTTCCGCCCTGGTCTTGATTGCACTGACCACTTATTTACTCTTCACCAAGTTTTAGAACAGAGACCCACATACAGATGACCAACTATGGTGGTTTTCCTTGACTTAAAAGCCGCCTTCCACTCTGTTGGCCGTGCCAGCTTGTGGCACTACCTATGAAGGGCGTGTCAGCTAAACTTCTTTCTATTCTGAAGTCCCTCTATTGTGCTTTTCGAGGCCACATAAGGGTCTATGGCACATTGTCTTCTGAGTTCCCCACGACAAGTGAAGTCCGCCAGGGTTGTCCTATACCTGCTTTCCTCTTTAACCTTGTTATCAAAATTATCATGAGTGACTGTTCTTTTAGACTCTACCAGAGTGGAAGTTCTGCCAGGTGACCGACTGCCAAACCTTATGCAGGCCACATAGTTCTCCTTGGTTCTGACGCAATGAGTATGCAAACGCTACTGAATAGACTGGTGTGTAATGCTGCACACTTTGGCATGTACTTTGCACCTTCCGAGTGCAAAGTGCTGTTGCAGGACTGGACCAACGCACCTCCGGTTCTGACTATCACCGAACAGCCACTGGAAGTGGTGGATCGGTTCATTTACCTTGGCAGCTGTGTCACTTCTGGTGGTCACATCACTGAGGATGGTACTTCGCGTATCAACAAGCCCCGTGTGACTTCCCAGAGACTCGACCATCTAGAGACAGCGGGATATCAGTTTGAGAGTGTAAGGTAGGGTGTATAACTCTGTGATAAGGCCACTGTTGCTATATGGATTAGATACCTTGCCAGCGCGCATTGAAGACTTTAAACATCATCATCATCATTATACACATCAGCTAGAGATGGGAAAAACACCTCCGCTATTGTGCCGCAATACATGAAGGAAATACATACATGCATACAATACAATACACAAAGGAGAAGTAGATACAACAGTTGCATGCCAGCTGAGCTACCAGCAACGGATAGGCATCGTTCCGGTAAGCTTCCAGCTAGCTACTAGGCAAAAAGAAAAAAATATTATGTTTTACCCTAGGAAATGAGATCGTAGATGGATGGGGAGGCTAAAAGGGATGGGGAGGGACAAAGAAACTCACAGCATGAACGCCACTGAGGTTGGCTCCTTGCCATGTCAGCAAGTGTATCCAGCCAAACGTGTTCACCGTCTTTTGGACCCCAACCAGGGAGCTGTGAAGCTCCAACCGAGGCTAGCTCCGAGGTGAGGGACTTCATTCCCCTGGACCAAGTCATCGCTTGGCCACCTCTCCTCTTCTTCCATCCACACCCCCGGCGCGCAAACAACACACGTCGAGGGAGTCGGTGGGCTGGCATCCGCAACACGTGGCCGAGCCATCGGAGCCTGGTGCGGGAAATAACGGTGCTGAGCGGTTCAGATCCTTTTCCTGGGCCGTAAACAATGCGTCGAACACGCTCGTTACTCACGCGGTGTTCCCACCATATGTGAGCCAAACTGCGAAGGCACCGATGGTCGAACGTAACTAGCCTCTTCATGTCCGCCGATCTTATGGGCCAGGTTTCGCAACCGTACAGTAAGGTCGAACGTACCGCTGCATTGTACACTCTACCCTTCAGGGCGAGAGTGATGTCGCGCCGCCGCCAAAGGTGGCGAAGGTTAGCAAAAGCACTTCGAGCTTTCGCTATACGGTTTGTGATCTCGTCTTCGATCCCAAGGGCGCTGATACAACTTTCCAGGTAGTTGAATTTTTGAACGACTTCTAGCTGATCCCCACCAAGGGTCAGCGCAGGAGGCGATCCTTTC